TTGGTTGCCTATTTAAGTAGTCCGCTTATTACTAAGTTCTACACTAGATGTCATACCTGCAACCCGACTAGGGGGTTGCCTATTTAAACTCTCTGCGCCTATGTGAGTTACCTTCTAACCGAGCGAGAATCCAATTGGACCTCTTATTTTTAGACACCCGGCTTAGGATTTTAAGACAGACTTCCTCCATTGGAAGTCCTTTATCCTCGAGGACAATAAAAAAACTATATTGTAACTATAAACTACTATAGCTATAACTAAAATAATTCTTTTTCTTTGCTAATTAGAATTAAAATAATATAAGATAGTATGTTGGTAAAAAGATGTGTTTTATAATAAAATTTAGTAAAAATATTTTATTAGAACTCAAAAAGTAGTTTCATATACTCAATTTTGAGTTATATCCAATTTTTGACAATTTTGACAAAATGAATATTTGTTTTGAATTTTTCTGATTGTGTTATATTATGTCTGATCTTTTAAATTTGATTGGTTTTTATGGGATGCAGCTACAGTAACAATGACTACAAATATATTACTCCTTTTTATTAAAATAATAAATTATATTTTAATTTTTTTCTAAATCAATACTAGCCTTTATAGCTAACAAGTTTTTATTAACTGTTGAAATTACAAATATATTCAAGAGTTCTTGATAATGGTTTTTCTATATTACAAAAATAAAAAATAACAAACTTATTTCTTGCTACAGATGCTTAACTCTTATTCTAAACAAAAAAATACTAATCAATTCTTTGCTCAAAGATTTGTTTTTTTTATAACTTCTCAAAATATTTTAAAACAAAATTTTAAGTTCTATATTCAACCAACTATATACTTTATGCTGGGTGCAGGCCAAATCTCGACAGGTCATAACCCCGACAGTTAAAATCTCGACAATTGAAAATTCTAATACTACTGTACTTGCTACTGGGCCGGGCCAAAATTTGAAAATTTTCAAACCCTCTCAAAATTGCGGGCCTGGTGTGTTAAGAATAGGTCCGGTCCAGTCCGTCCGGTCCTAAAAAACCGGTCTATTAATGTTTTCAGTCCAGTCTCGGTCCCAATAACGGTCCTTAATTATTTAATCTTATTGGCTAGCGGAGAAAATCTAATCATATGACGTCGGTAATTGAAAATAAAAGATTATGTTATTTGAATTATTCTTGAGGACCGGTCCAGACTGGTCACAGGACAGAGGACCAGTTAACCATAAGACCGGTTAAAAAGACCGGTCCTTATTCGGTCTTTTCAGGACTGATCCATCCCTAGTTAAGAACATAGTGAATTGCGGGCCGAGCTTTTAAAAAACATAGTAAATTTTATTTTGCGGGCCGTGCGGGCCGGCAGAAGTACAAATTTTTAGGCCCGTGCAGGGCTCTACTTGCTGCCACATGTTCATACAACCAAAATTTGTAATAGACAAGACTGGGGACCGTGTCCCTCATGTTTTTGACTATTTGATTAAAGTTAGGGCAAGGGTTAGTTTCAGGTTAGGTTTATGGCATGTTATATAGTAAATTTACCCTTTAACATTTTTTTATTAATGCTCAAAGATAGGTTTAGACACTCGTTTCTTGTAATTTGCTTTTTCTCTTCGGTGTTGATCAAAATAAACAACTTATTGGCTCTATATTATGTGATTGAATGCTTTTGCCTAAAAATTCTGACTGTTAGGATTTTTGGATTTTGATTGGCGGGAGTTTTTTAGAGATAAGAATCCAAAAAAGAAAATAATGACAAATAAAGGCCCAAAATGAAAATAATTACAGATAATTGTAATATAGTCATTAATTGTTAACGCATAAAAATGTAATAATAATCCTTATAATAAACCGATCGGTATGGTTTTTACTAACATGATAATACTCATTCGGCCTTGGACAGTTATTTTGTTGAATTTCTTCTTATAAGTTCAGAACGAACAAACAAAATAAGCTGTTGGCTATTTGTTTTACAAATGAAACCAGTTCATACCCTTTTATTATTTCAGTTAACAAGCGCAAAGATGTATTCAAAAACGCGTGGATCGTACCTTGTAAAGTTTACTGCGCCATTAGTTAAAGACATAGCAGTACTTCTACCTCGTGATATTATAAATCGTGTTCGTTCTGAAGTGCGGGCTGAGACATCATACACTGTAGCTTGGAGAAGTAAAGCTATTAGGCCACACATGGTTTTGCATTGCAGGATTTCAAAAATCTGTCAGTCGGTTAGATTTTGTTTTTTAATTCTGAATAATGAACTATAACTCTAAAACATCTATTTAATCACGAAGCAATTAATCATGATACCATTACATTTAAATCGGTTAGTAATTTTGACGATCTTTATTTGTGTAATAATTTTTAAATATCGTGCCTTTATCTGTAATTATTTTCATTTTGGGCCCTTGGGTCCTTGTTTATCGGGATTATGACCTGTCGGGATTCTGTTTTTTGGGATTTTGGCCCAAACCCCTTTATGCTTTGTAGCCATAATATCTTTTTGATGAATAAAAACTTCCATTCTTTTATGCTCCAATTCGCAGAAGGTTTGTTTCAGAACTCTATAGGTATGACTACGTATTAGAAAGGTTATGCAATATATACATTTATATATGGGGGTGAGTCAATAGAAATAAAGCAAATTATTTTTATTGAATTTTTTTTAAAACTTTATACATTAATAACTTAACCAAAACTTGATCAAATTTAATAATTTTTTTTTTTAAACAAATTATACAAGTTTGTAGAATTATTGTTTAAAGTTTAAAAAAAATTTACTTAGAAAAAATTTGCTTGATTTCTATTGACTCAACCCCATATATATATCAAAAACTGTTTATCAGAGTACCAAAGTTTCACCATAACATTGTTGAGAATTATTTTCTTGATGATGGTATTATATTCGGTCTTTTCAACATTGGTCGAAAATCATGTTTTTTTCTTTGACTTTCCTTGCAAAATTTTGATAGTTTTATATGCTGGATTTCACCCTGCTATTTCATGTGTTGACCTATTTAGTGAAGCTTCTGGATTCATTCAATAACGGTTAAAAAATAACAACAATAGAATGTGGCGTGAAATCAATAAACCCTTATTTTTTGCTTAAGACTAAAAATCATATGCGTGTAACACAATATAACAACTAGATTATAGTAGCTCTAGATAGCCAGTTGTATATGATACAATTTCTAGACTTTTTTTTTTATTTAACGTTATACATATAAACATACAGTAATTTACAGATTTTTTTTGTGAAAATTTAAAATTAAATAGTAAAATTAGGTTGATTAATCAGAGTTACGCGATTACCGTTATTGATCACTCAGTCTTAATTTTATAACTTGAAAAACTTCGTAATCATCAACTGCAAAAGTTCCATTTTTTCCATTCCAGCTATCCCAACTTTCTCTGTGAAACATATCACCAACACTTTGTTCGTAACTTTCCTTATTACAACTACAACTTCCTGCTAAATTAAAATCATCAGTTATCCATAAATCACCATCTCCAAAACATGGACCATTATATTGTGAATCACTAATAGCATATTGCGAGCATGCCGGAATTACTCTACCAAGTTTAGCAACCATTTTTTTCTTGTAATCGACATTGAATTGAAATATAAAACTGTCACGTGTATAACGCCATGAATTTGTAGAGCCCCAAGAAAGTGGATTGTATCCGCCAATTACATGTTTTGAATTATTGACTTTTAAAAGAGTAACTGTTGGTCCTTGATTATCACATCTATCATGGAATGTGGCCGCAGAGAAACCATCACGGGATCCACGGACCAAAAGTTTGAATTCATATTGAAGCTCACCAGGGTATGATGGAAGTGAAATATTATCACCACCATCAATCCAATGAGCAATAAGGGCTGAATGTGGTTTTTCGATAATAGTTGATTTTATACCTATTAACAAATACAAAATTTCTTATATCAGATGCGAACATATCGGATTTATATAAATAACCCTACACATGGGCTTGAGCTACCTATGGGTACGGGCTAGAGCATCGATTTCCAGACCCTGAGATAGGGATAAGGGTTTGGAAATCGAGCCCTTGCACAAACAGGTAGAGTTAGGGTACTGCTACTACTCGGCCCTACCCGACCCATGCGGAAGCATATGGGGTGAGTCAGTAGAAATCAAGCAAATTGTTTTTATTGAAATTTTTTTAAAAATTTAACATTTAATAAAAAATTTTTTAAATAAATTTCATAAGTTTGTAAGATTTATTTAAAAAAAATTTTATTAAATTTGATTAAGTTTTTGTTGAGTTATTGTTGTTTAAAGTTTAAAAAAAATTTACTTAGAAAAAATTTGCTGACTCAACCCCATATATTTAAACAATTAACAAATGAATCAAAGTACCTTTATATCTTGGAGTTTGAAGATATTCAGGTTTAAGTTGCATTCCAGTTTGAAAATGATAACGTTTAAGATCTTCGTATAATTCTTTATGGAGGATTTTTTTAAATGGTCTAACTTTATTATAAATTTCCGATGGCTTCATTTGAAAAAACCTAATGGTAGGAATAATTGGATCTAAAATTTCGCGAAGTGCATTAAAATCGTCATTTGACCATTTATTGATATCGATGGTGAGATTTGCATTCGCAATACCCCATTCAAGAAGATGATCCCAGATCACGACTTCTTCCATTTCGAGATCACTACGATTCAGCAAAGAAATTAAAGTTTCTTCTTCGAGTGAAGTGAAATCTTTAGCTTTAAATATCGATTGTGGATCTTCACAAATTGTTATTAAACAAAATTCTTGAAGATCTTTCGAAGAATCGATTTGGAATACAGTTCGATGAACGAGAGCGAAATTTTGATGTAACCAGCTGGATTTGTTTGTTAAAAGATATTCTTGAATGAATTCTTGAAGTTCACTAAGAAGTAATTCATCAGATGCAATCAACAACTTTAAGAGATCTTCTCCTTTTTGTTGGTCCATAGGAATAGAACCTGTGTACATAAATCTATAATTTACGATTTATATGAGACTGAGATAATCTTAGTAATGTTATGATTAAACCATTAAAAAAATTACCTAAGTAAAAGAGAAAAAATATAAGGATCAATATTTGGTTTATTAAAAACGGTCATAGTTCCTTCTTTTCTAATCCAATCATTTGATAATGCAGTTTTAAAATAAGGAGATCTAGCCCTTAACACTACGGAATGAGCTTTAAACGATTGCCTATTCGTATCTTGGCCAACATTTATAAGGACATTATGATCATCACCATCTTCAAGAAGATTGGCAAAGTCTACAGCTAAGGATGTCAAGAATTCATGCATTTTTACTTTAATAAAGGGGAATGATTTTTTGGAAGAATAATGGAGATGCGAAAAAATTGATCATATTTATATAAAATTTTATCCTAAATTCAGAAGTCATCAGCATTCAAATTGTTCCCATGCAGGATACGAGTGACAATGTATTTCGCAGATTTAATGAAATCACGAAAAATGACTGAAACATAATATATTATTATTATGCATTATATGTAGTCAGCCAACTTTCATGTATTTCATTTAGGTTTGAATAAACTTATCATATCACACTTAATTTAGAGAAGAATCAAGATCTTCATTTGTATCTGTTTTCTATTGTTAAACTGTTGCACAAGTCTCCTATAAATGAATCTCGGGTTTATTGTTTCAAAAATTGAAGTTTGAGTCTATAAATATGTTCAATACCCTAAAATTCGGACTAGCTTCGGTGATACCTTTCAGAATTCGGACTAATTTCGTGATACTTTTCAACTCCTTACATATGGTGTTATTACGGAACACTTTGGACATGAGTTTGGGCATGTTTTTGAAAATTTGAACAAAAAAGGAAAATAAATAAATAAATCGGAATGTTATTAAAACTAGAATAGGTGCTAATGAGAAATAGAAGAATCATACATGTAATTATTTTATGATCAATCCAACCATCAAATTCGCGAACGGAGGCATCAAGTGCTTTATGCCTCTAACGAGCAGATTCAACGTTACCACCAACCGAGGGAGCAGTCACATGATCTTACGATCACCGGAGCACAGTGATGCAAACGGCCTGAGCCGAGCCGAGCCGTTTAATGGCTCAAAAAACCTTGAAGCCGAGTGATCCAAATTTTGCCAATCGATTAGCGTTAGTTGTCAACTACAGGTCGTTTAAAGCCTTGACCTTACTAAATTACCCGATATGTGTCCCGGATTATTCGATCAACCGACAAAAACATGAAATAATGCTATCTAAATTGGTGTTGGAAATACGATTTTACTATATTTCTACTAACCTCCTAGGCTAGGTCTAACCCTAATATTAATTAAAAATCGGAAAAATCGAAAGGTGCCATGCTTTAAACGTACTCCAACTATAGCAGTATAGTCGATTTTCATATCATGTGACTAATTTATCGATTAGCCATAAATCGATTAGTTAAACTAGTTGATTTTTCAATAACAATTTTATTTTTTTTAATAATGTGTAATTGAAACATACGTAAATATAATTCGAAAGCTAGAATCACTTAATAGATAGTTACTTCATAGACACAATAGCTCATTTCATAGAAATTTACAGTATTTCAACTTCACTGCCAAATTATAGTCATTATTATTATGATTAGAATCAGAATTATGTTTAGGTTAGTGCAAATTATAAAAAAACTTGAGCTATCGGCGAAATAAATTATCTATGAAATAAACTGCCGGTAAAAATAACTCTCCATGGAATGGACTTAATTTTCTGTAAAGTAAACTTATCTGTGAATTATTGCGGTTAACCTCTGCAGATCATGAGAATCAGTGATCTGTAGATTTCAAATAAATATAAGCATAACTGATCAAAAATATGACTAATAGAAATCCGGATCTTTGGAATTTTCTTCGATCATCTAAGTCGCATCTTTTTGCAAAGCTAGGTAAAATTTGGTAAAATATGTGATAATAGGTATATGTATATCTGCTGATCTTTATAGAGTTTGATGTCAATAATTTCATACATAATTTCAGAAATTGTCTAACAATTGAATTATTTTTAATGATCTGCCAAATTCATAACATTTTGCAAACCTCGATAATTGCTCGTAGAATATGGTGTTTAGGAAATGATTGTTGGTAAAATGATACGGATTCAGTTAAAAATCCGTTTTTCAGAATCTAAAATTTAAAATTTAATCTATCGTTTATTTTCAGTTGAATCAGGAATGGTAAATTCTAGAAGAATACGCATCGACCGTCCATGAGCATTGGTTTGCTCAGTACCAATTAATTAGAATATCGGCTCGACTTGAGGTTAATCAGCAAGGATCCGTAAAATTTTAAGTATCAACTTAAATTTTCTAAAATTTTTAATTCTAGAGAAAATTATCAAATTTAACTAAAATTTTCTAAAAATTTCTATATTACATTACATTATAGTTTGTGATACATATTTTGTTTTTGTGCGAATCTATTTGTCGCCGGCGGTGACAGCCACCAGGTTGCAATTGGCCAATCATATCAGGAGTAACGTTCGTGTAACCCGAAAACGAAGAAAACATTGATTCAAAATTTCACCTATTAAACCATCTTTTTCATGTTCTAACTAAAAAAATTCCTCGCAAAAATTTTACTATACGTAATGCTTTACCCTAACCCTAACTCAACTCCAACCCTGACCCTAACGATAATTAACCTTGTCGATCTGGTTGGTCAGTTGCAATCCGGTGACCGTCACCGCCGGCGACAACTAGATTATTTCTTTGTTTTTAATAAAAAATTTTATACAAACTTAACTTATTTAACTTCTAAGACATACAGTACACGACTAGTTTGTATTGGATATTGATATCGTGATCTAGGGACATAAATTTATGTGACTTAGGGCAATTTGATTCCTAATTGTTTTTATATTTGATCAGGATTGCGATAAATCAAATTACAAACTTGTGTTTTTATAATAACATTCTTCAAAACATTAAGTATTGGATCATTAAAGAGGCTTACAATGTTGTATTTTATGTATTTTAACAAAAGAATGAATTTATAAATTTTTCTAAATTTAAATCAAAATTTTTCTAAAATTTATTTAATTTAAACTAAATTTTTCTAAATTTTTTGTTAATATCAAACTAAATTTTACGGGTCTCTGTTAATAAGCTTATAAATGGCTCGACTCTGGTTTGCATAGCCGAGGATCGGTGTGGCTCGGCTAATATTGTTTGTGAGCCGGTCTTTGCATCACTATCTGAACAGGGAACCGAAATACTCATGATCGATTAATCAGAATACAAGATCTGATATAGCGTGATAGTATTACATAATAAAAGCCTACATGAATCGGTAAATACATATATATTATTTGCCACCAAAGATAAACACATTATATTGGTTCGCGAATAGAACAATAGAGCTACGTATAAATTTTTTTTTTGGTTTAAATCGATAAATATTAAATACATTTGTTATTAAATATATATTTACATAATATGTTAATATAATTAAATTTAAAAAACTTTACAATAGCAATAGAATAGAATGAATAGAATTTACAATAGAACAAAAGAATGCCAACACTGCAAATTACTATTTATAAATCTAGATCTATTATCTACGACCAACAAGTTAACACTTTAACACTTCATTAAAGCTATACACATTATTTGCAGAACGTTACATTATTAAAAGTATTTTAAAGTGTATAAATAAGTTACCCAGGCAATTGAGTTGTATCAGCCAATCAGATGAATTTCGTTCTATGAAAATTTTACTCGAAATGCATATTGTTATACTGCATTAAAATATCGATTTATATGAATCTAAATAAGTTAGCGTCCCTACACATAACCATATTGCTGTCGCATAACTATACATGCCGCTCAAACTCAAAATCTTACCCAAATCCAATAGTTTTGCCAGCCAAGTATAGATATAACTGCGAGTTGTATATTTTCTCGTCCGTATTCTCCATTTGTATTTCTTATTTATATTTCCTATTATGCTTAAAACAAATCAAAAGAATAACAAGAAACAAAGTTATACAGATTATGTAAAATAATACGGAAAAATAAATCGCCTTATTTCGTAAATTTATCTCGTGAGCATTTAATATCGTTCATACTTTATTATTTCATATTTGACCCCACACAAAATTTTGTACAATTTTGACCAATCAAAATCGTACAAAATTTTGTGGGGTACTTACAGCCTTTTAACTTTCGAGCACTCATATCATGATTTTAAATTTCGTCATAAAACTGTTTCTTGCGAACCCTGAACTCTGAAAGTGGTCTAGGTTAAATCACTGATATGTTCATTGATATATAATTATGGTATTATTAAAGAAGAGCGACTTTCTCGAATATAGTAATGATTCCGATATGGTTACACATATGCCTGCCAGCCAATCAGATTATAAAAAAATTGTGGAATTCATTATACTTTACGTTTCAAAGAAAGTTAAGCTACCCGAGATTTTTATCAATTATTATGTAATTATATGGAAATCATTTCCATATCGCTCCCGTCGGCATTTAATTTGCAACATGTGAATTTGCGCATTTAGCAACATGTGAATGTTACTATGAAACGGGTGGGTAATTCGAGTAAGGATTTTCTTGGCGGCTACAAACATTATACATAGCAACCGCATAAAATGTCCGCAGACACGTGATGTTCTGCACTGCTTTTATTGGTTGTTTCCCCGTGA